AGTTCTTCCCAAAGAAGAAATGTTTTATCTTTGATCAGCCCACCCATCGGAAGAAGCTAGGCCAACTTGAGACAATGCATGATGATGAGCTGGACCCCGAATTTGTGCAACAAGCTGCTGACTTCTGTTCCTACATCTTTACCAATTCCAAAGTCAAAACTCTTTCAGGAGGCATCCAGGTCAATGGACCCCGTAAGTCCACTCCTGGTCATTACTCACACTGTTAAGACTATTATTACTGTGGCACATTCTAGATGACACAAAATTTCTAATAGGTTTTATTAATCAGATTTTGTGTGTGAGTAAAGATAGAAAAGGACAAATAAAAAAGCTCTATTGCTTAAAATTGCCTTAATAAGCTGGACCTGTACTATTCCATATAATAGCTACTAGACAAGTGTAATAGCTATATTTATCTAAAATTAAATGTACATTAATTAGAATTAAAGATTAACAGTTCTGATTACATGGGTAGGGGCTCAATATTGGGCAACACATATAGCACAGGACCATCATCACAGAAAGTTCTCTTGGACAGTGTTCTTCCAGAATGAATAAAATGGAGGACTCCCTTTTAAATTTATTTTTAGTTTTTTTAATCCTCACCTAAGGATGTTTTTCCATGAATTTGAGAGGGAGAGAGAAACATTAATCCCATGTGCACCCCAACTAGGGATTGAACCCAGAACCTAGGTGTGTGCCCTGACGAGGAATCAAACCCACAACTTTTTGGTGCATGAGACAACGCACCAACCAACTGAACCACATGGCCAGGGCAGAGGACTTCTTTTTAATTGTTTCACAAATATTGATTTTATAAATGCTTATTACGAACCAGAACTGATGATAGAGACATGAATGAGACGTAGATTTTAGGTCCTAATGGTGCTTAAGAGTAAAGCACATGCACTCTATAAATACAAGTCTATGGGGCCTAGAACAGAAGTTCTCATCCTTTGATGTGGAACCCTATCACCCAAGATCTCGCCAGAGGAGGATTTAATTCAGTTCATCTGAAACAGAGGCTGAGATTCTGCATTTTTAACAAACTTCTAGGTGATGCTGAGGACAAATGAGTATTGAGACATTACCACCAGATGTAAAGAAGATGGACTGTTTTCTCACCTCCCCTACAACAAATGTCATCTTTTGTTCTCTATTTGTAGGTCTGGAGACTCTGGTGATGACCTATGTCGATGCCATCAGCAGTGGAGACCTGCCCTGCATGGAGAACGCAGTCCTGGCCTTGGCCCAGATAGAGAACTCGGCTGCAGTGAAAAAGGCCATTGCCTACTATGACCAGCAGATGGGGGAGAAGGTTGAACTGCCCACAGAAACCCTCCAAGAGCTCCTGGACCTGCACATGGCCAGTGAGAAAGAGGCCATCGAAGTCTTCATGAAGAATTCCTTCAAGGATGTAAACCATTTATTTCAAAAAGAATTAGCGGTAACTTTTTTCTTATGTGTATATGGATTAGAGTGGTAGAAAGCGAAGTACTACTAGAAGATAAAATGGTTATTTATCAGGAAACAAAGAATTTTTACTAGACTTCAAATTGATAAAAACCACTATTTTTTATTATTATAGTAAGAAGAACCAATTTTATTATGATTGTCTTAAAGTTTTGAACATTTTTTTTCCTCTTATGCATAAACTAATACTCTTTCTCATAATTTGGTTAAATGCATGTATGTAACAATCAGAGCTTTTCATCAAGTTACATGCTTGCTCTTATTAGACTATTTAACATTATAGCCAAAAACAAAGAAAGATGTTGTCTTAGTTATCTTGAGCAGGCTTATATTGAGCCACGTTTCTTCCATACACAATTGCTGTTCCAATCTGAAAGCAGAAGTTTCTTTCCAAAGGTGTATGTGTAGGACTAGAGAACCTAGTCCTGACCTATGTCAATGCCATCAGCAGTGGGGCCCTGCCCTGCATGGAGAATGCAGTCCTGGCCTCGGCCCAGATAGAGAACTCGGCTGCAGTGCAAAAGGCCGTGGCCTCCTATGACCCACAGATCGGTAACATAAATGCTAACACAAAGCTAGCAATTTCTGCCATGAACTTCACCTCCAAGGAGAAAGGGACTTCAGTAGAAAGACAGGATCAGGAGAAAGGATGTGGTCCTGCAAAGGTGCCTGTAAGTTTTTGCAGGATCACAGACTGGTTTTGGAGAAGCCTTTCCAAAAATCCTGAGGTTGAGCTAACATTTCCTCTGTACTCTTTCTACTTCCTATTTTCATATTGAAGGCCCAGCTAGAAAAAAGGCGGGAAGACTTTTATAAAGAGAATATAAAAGCATCATCGGATCACTGCTCAGCTTTACTTAAGGATATCTTCCATTCTTTAGAAGAAGATATAAAGCAGGGGGTTTATTCTAAACCAGGAGGATATCGTCTCTTAATGCAGACTGTGAATGAGCTCAAGAAAAAGTATCTTCAGGAACCCAGGAAGGGAATACAGGTAACCAACATTTATCTGTCTCTCTGTTCCTCCTCTCAACCCCACACTTCCCTTCCTGCCAGTCTCCCTCCACCTCCTTTCCTTAAATCTGCTCTCTCCTTGATGACTTCATTCCTCATCCCATATGGGACCACAGCACCAACAAAAGAAAGCCCTCACTCAGAGAACAGGGACTCTCAATCTATATTTATATCAATCTCTTACAAAGGATTCTGCTTCATCGGGTGCCAGGCTTGGCCAACCTGGAATATGTGCCCAGCTTGTGATGGGGCACCTAGACCAGTACAAGGACCAGGCCTCAGCAAAGCAATTTCAATAGGAAAACATGATGGGAATATAGGAATAAATACTCACAGCATTTCCTAGCACTTCCAGCAATTTCCTACCTTAAGCCCATTTTCTCTCGGTCACAGAGTGAAGAAATTCTTCAGGCATACCTGATGTCCAAGGAGTCTGTGATTGATGCAATTCTACAGACAGACCAGACTCTCACAGAAAAGGAAAAGGAGATCGAAGGTGAGGAGTAAGTCAAGAGACTAGATAGCCTCAACAGCTTTTAAAAGTTTAAATAATTTGGCTTGGAGAACCTGAGGTCCTTAAACAAAAGCCAGATGAGCAAAGATGCCTACTACTAGCCAAAGTCAGGCTCAGTGGGCAAATGCAGTCAGCAGCAACAATGTCAGGTGAGTTCACAAAGAAGAAACAGCGAGGTGGTCACCCACATGAATTTGTCTTCTTCCTTTCCTCCTGGCAGTGCAACGTGTGAAAGCTGAATCTGCAGAGGCTGCAGCAAAAATGCTGGAGGAAATTCAAAAGAAGAATCAGCAGATGATGGAGGAGAAAGAAAAGAGTTATCAGGAACATGTGAAACAACTGACTGAGAAGATGGAGCAGGAGAAGGCCCAATTAATGGCAGAGCAAGAGAGGGCTATGGCTCTTAAACTTAAGGTATGTAATGGCATCACCTTGAGGTTTCTCTTTTTCTGTTTTCTGTCCACTCTCCCTGACCTGTTGGTCTATCTGTTAGAACATGAAACCCAGAAGAACCTTGCTTGCCCAATTATACCTTTCAATATCTGTCTATCTGCCTGAATCAGAGCCTGCCTATGTCTGGTTATTTAAAAAAAAAAAAAAAAAAATATATATATATATATATATATATATATATATATATATATATATATATATATATATTTCCCTTTATCTCATATCCAATCCTTCATCAGTACATTTTTCAATCAATGGTAGCTATTATCTTCGAGGCATTGTAAATATGTCTTATCTGTATTTCTTGCTTAATATTACATGAAGCAAGAATTGCTGAGTACCTATACCTTAGGAGAAGAAACAGAGATTCAGAAAAGATGAGCTTGTACAGGGTTACACAGATCGGTAATATATCTGAACCACCTTCAAACTTAGAGGAATCTACAATCACTGTTTTTCTGTCACATCTGGTATGACTTCAGTTCTAAGAGAACCTTTATTAGCAAAAGGACTCCGTGCCTCTCACTCCTGACATTTGTTATGCCCTACTTCTAGTTTGTGTAGTGAGTTTTCTGCAGAAATCCAGTGTGGAAACTTAGGGGCCTTGATGTCCTTACTTATATCCTGTTACTCTTGCCACCAAGCTGTGGAGCTTAAATCAAATTCCCTTATCTAAGATTCAGGCACTTCCTTTGATTTTGAGAATTTTTATTTCTGTCATGTGTATGTATATGAAAGTCTGTGTGTGTGTGTGTGTGTGTGTGTGTGTGTGTGTGTGTGTGTGTGTGTGTAAGGATCTATAAGATTTGAAAAGAAACATATGATTAAGATGGCTCATATATGTTATATAGAATTATTGGTGCTTATAATTTAATTTTTTTCAATATATTAGAAGGTATAAGCTAAAATTTCTCTTAGCTAAAGGAAGCTCAAGAAAAGCAATCATGCTTCTAGGATATCCAAGAGAAATATAATATTTATGGTAGAGAAAATTTCAAGAAAAAATGAAATACTAAAAATATGGAAACTAGCTAGAAGTTGAAATTTGCTTACTGCTGTACTTTATTTACTCTTTATTTGTCCCTTTTTAGGAACAGGCCTTGTTACTAAAGGAAGGATTCCAGAATGAGAGCAGACAACTTCAGAGAGAAATAGACAGTCTCAAGAATAACATGGCAAGACCATCATCGGACTCTTGTATCATAATCTAAAGACCTAAGGGGAAGAGCTTTCCCGGACGCTCTGCCCAAGGCATAACTCAAGAAGTTTTAGAATCTGGAAAAATGTCCCAACTTGAGAAAAAGTGACCTTCTTTAAGCTGATAAAATAAATAAATAAATAAATAAACCATCCCCTAATATACATACTTAATGGTAATAAATGGAATGCTTTGTCCCTAACTCAGGAATAAAGCAAGGATGTACAGTCCCTCTGCTACTGTTAAACAGTATAATGAAGGCTTCCTACAATACGGCAAAAGGAAGAAAGAAGAAAGAAATAAAAAAAGAAATTTAAAAAAAGAAATAAGGAAGGAAGGATTGATGAAATGAAGAAAGGGAGGGAGGGAGGAAGAAAGATCAGAAAGGGTAAAATAAAACTGCCTTTATTCTCACACAGTATGATTATCCACACAGAAAAATCCCAGGAAATTTGCAGCAAAAGCAAAAAACAGCAAAAACAAAAACTCTTGGAACAAATATGTGAGTTTAAAAAGGTTGTAAGATTCAAGGCCAATACAGAAAAACCCACATTCAACTGTTTTTTTACATTAAAGCAATGGACTATTGGAAACCAAAAATTAAAAAACAATACCATTTACAATAGCCGTTTTAAAAAATGGAATACTTATATAGAAACATAACTAAACAGACACACGATCTTCTATTCTAATGCAAGGCAAGCATTCTAAGACCAAGAGATTATGGGATTGATCATGATATATGAATTTCTTTAGATTCCGACTCCATTGTTGTTTTAATGATGTTACTTTTACTCAATGTAGAGAAGAAGGTTCAAGACCCTTACTTCTAGACATATCTCTGACAAAAGCATGTGCCTAGTATTAGTTGTTTTCCTGAGCACTAAAAATATTTTAATTGTGGGGGACAGGGGTATTATAGAAGGATTCAATGAGGAATAAAAGGGGAAAGCTATAACACAACAATAAATATAAATTAAATATATATATCCACTGTGTGTTAGGCTTTTATCCAAACAAAAGAAGAAAAAATATGGCTCAGAATTCAGTGCCATATAATATGCCTACTACTACTACTACTACTACTACTACACACACACACACACACACACACACACACCCTACCCTTCTCACTCATTGTCAGTTCTTTGACAGACAGGATTTCACAGAACACAAGACAGGAAAACTTAAGAGTTTTTCCCCCCAAAGCTATGTTCAAAACAGAGTCCCTAGGGAGTTAGATGAGGCTTCATGAAAAGCAGCCAATGCTTAGGCTACATGGCTCATTCATTCAAAAAACATTGGTTTAATATCTATCACATATTCTGCCAAGGAATGGGAATATAGTTGTAATCCCTCTCTTAAGGAGCTCATAGTCTAGTGGTGAAGACAGAAATTAAATAATACAGAAAGCTAAATACCCAAAAAATTGAGAGGAGAGGATTTCTGATTTAGGAAGGAGTTGATTTAATCCCTCTACCCCAGGATATCTCAGGTGGCTCCTTAGTAGTCTTAACCATATTTCCCTTATCAGTCACTTAGCGGAAAAAATAAATCAAATTTGCGAGGGAGAAATAGAGAGATAGCACCTATCACCTGGCCCCAAAAAACCCTGATTAATTAACAGTGTGTCATGCTCACTGTGTCTCTCTTGGAGTTATTGGTAAAGAAATGAAGAAATGAAGAAAGCAATGGGTCCCATTTACTGGCCAATATTATTATTACTCTTCACAGTACTTTATCACTACCTTTTATCACCAGTTTGTTCATGTTTATTGTTTGTCTCCCCTACTGTACAAGTGGGCAGGAACATTACCTGTTTTATTATTATTATTATTATTATTATTATTATTATTTTGAAAATGTAATTATTTTTTAAAATATATTTTATTGATTTTTTACAGAGAGGAAGATAGAGGGATAGAGAGTCAGAAACATCAATGAGAGAGAGACATCAATCAGCTGCCTCCTGCACACCCCCCACTGGGGAAGTGCCCACAACCAAGGTACATGGCCTTGACCGGAATCAAACCCTGGATCTTTCAATCCATAGGCCGACACTCTATCCCTGAGCCAAACTGGTTTCAGCCCATTTTTTAAAAAAATAATCTTTATTGTTCAGATTATTACAAATGTTCCTCTTCCCTCCCCCCCCACAGTTGCTCCCCTCCACCAGGTTTCCACCCCACCCTCTGCCCTTTCCCCATTTCCCATTGTCCTCATCCATAGGTGCACAGTTTTTATTCAGTCTCTTCCCAAACCCCCACTCCACTTTTCCCTGAGAATCATCAGTCCACTCCCCTTCCATACCTCTGATTCTATTATATTCACCAGATAATATTGTTCATCAGATTTTTTTTAATTCCCTTGGCTTTTATTTTCACTTGTTGATATTTACATATTTGATGTTCATAATTTTTATCTTTATCTTCATCCCCTTCCTAAAGAACCCCCTTCAGCAATTCATATAATTCTGGTTTGGCAGTGATGAACTCCTTTAGTTTTTTTTTTATTTATGAAGCTCTTTATCTGGCCTTCAATTCTGAATGATAGCTTCGCTGGGTATAATATTTTGGGCTGTAGGTTCTTGCTATTTGTCACCTTGAATATTTCTTGCCATTCCCATCTGGCCTACATGGTTACTGTTGAGAAATCAGCTGACAATCATATGGGTGCTCCTTTATAGGTAACTACCTGCTTTTCTCTTGCTGCTTTTAATATTCTCTCTTTGTCTTTTGCTCTTGGAATTTTAATTATGATGTGTCTTGGTGTGGTCCTCTTTGGACTCCTTTTGTTTGGGGTTCTGTGCACTTCCTGGACTTGTAAGCCTATTTCTTTCACTAGGTGGGCGAAGTTTTCTGTCACTATTTCTTCCAATATTCTTTCAATATCTTACTCTCTCTCTTCTTCTGGAACCCCCATAATTCTGATGTTGGTTCACTTGAAATTGTCCCAGAGGTTTCTTACACTAGCCTAAATTTTCTGGATTCTCTTGTCTTGCTTCTGCGGAGGAGTGTCCTCTGGCTCTTGGTGTTCCAAATCTTTGACTTGATTCTTGCGATCTTTCAGACTGTTTTTAGGACTCTGTAATTTTTTTTTATTTCAGACAATGTATTATTTATTTCTGGTTGATCCCTTTTTATTTGTAGTTGATCCCTTTTTATATCCTCATAGGTCTCATTTCATTTATTGGGAAATTCTTGAAAAACCTTATAAGTGTAGTTTTGAACTCAATGTCCATTCTTTTCTTTTCCTCCATCTCCTTCCTTTGTATCCTGCCTCTCCTCTGCATTTTAGCTTCTTCCCTGATATGATGGAATAGTTTTGTGTGCTAGGTGTTCTGGTAGAGCCCAGTAGCACAGCCTTCCCAGTTACCTAAGGTGTACAATCTTGGTGTAGCCCTTTGTGGGCTGTGTGTGCAGTCTTTTTGTTAAGCCTTTATTGTTGTTGGTATCACTGGGAAGCGTTGATTTTCAAGCCAATTGGCTATGAGGACCAATAGTGTCTCAGCTAGGAGGGCTTCTGTACTCCGCTTGGGTGGGGTGGAGTCTCAGGGTGGCGTAAACAAACTTTGGTGAGTCCCACAAGATTGGTTGCAGGCGTGTGCACCTCTTTGGTATAGGAGCAGACAAGCTTTGGATTCGTCCCTCCTTAGGAGAGTCCTATTTGTGGTAAATGAGAAAGCCACCCTTCGGGAGGGCTTCCGTGCTCCGCTTAGATGAGGCAGAGTCTCAGAGTGGTGCCGACAAGCTTTGGTTTCTCGTCAGCCCCGCAGTAATGGCTGCTGGCTTCACACACCTCCAAGAGATCTCTGCCCACTGCCTGACAGTCTGGCCTCTCCCTGACTGTGGCCATCTATCAGAGCAATAAGGTGGTTCTGATTTCCTCCTAAATAAGAAAGCTAGCCACGAATTAGCTGTCTGCCCTCCCTGCATGCCTGGAGTAAGCCAGTAGCAATCTCAGCCCACCCTCTCCACACTGCAAGTAAGCCAGCAGCAAACTCAGGCGGCTGCCTTTTCTTGTGCACATATTTCCACATCTTTACAGTTCTCAAGGCTCAGCGTGCCTTCTCTCTCCTTCCCGGATGGTAGAGCCTCCTCTTAGCCAGCCATCTGGCTCTCAAGGCGATGTTTCCCCCGTTTTCCAGCTCTACCTTCAAAATTGTTGTGGTAGACTGCATTCAGGTGTCTACCCTATGCTGCCATATTGGTTTCTCCCTACCTATTTTGCTTATCACAAACTCAGCATCTAAAAGGGCTCCTGGCATGTAGTAACCCATACAATAAAAATTTAAAACAACGGAGTGAACAATTTAATGAATAGTTTATCATCCCAACACTATTCCTGATGCTTCTCCCTGAAAGTTTAACATTTGATTGTTTAATATCACTTGAATATTAGAGAAATTTGATAGTTATCTAAATTCTTGTACTATTTCGAGTGCAGTCTTCTCCTTCTCCCTCTCTGTCTCCATAAAAAAAAAATATCATTATTCCTTCTTTATAGCCTAGAGAACCTAGTGTTGATTTATGTTCCTGCCATTGCTCTAGGGATCTAGCTTACAGGAAGCAGATAGTGCTGACCAGCAGCAGTGCCAAGAGGACACTGCACCCTAAGACAAATTGAAAGAGCAAAGGGCAGTCCCCACTGAAACTCTCCAGGATCTGAGATCCTGCATAAAGCCTGAAAGAGAGAGGCCTTTAAAAGCTTTAGAGCTCCATCCTGCATGTGAACCAGGAATTCAGGAGGCTAAGCCACATTGAGAGAGGAAACATACCCTTCCTGAGAAGGGCAATCATACCAGGTTCTAACAGGGATTCTCACTTGTGCAGTGATATATTCAAACACGATTAGCCAGAACCACACACCAAGTCCACGCCTTTTTAAAGACTTCATAGAATGTGAAAAACTTTTCACTGACTCAAGTAACCACTGCTTATATTAAATTGCTATAAATCCAATCAAATGAGCATGTGGATAGACAGTAAAGCAAACAGATAGATAAATATATACATAGTTACCCTGAACTGCCTTTCTATGGGTAATGTACAATGTTTATTACAATATTTGAAATATGTCCTATTTATAAAGCTATTATTGCCTGGCTGTAAAGAATCAACTTACCTATCCAAAAAAATCTTGCATTTTAAATAATGATATGAGGTTGAAAAGCGGATATAACTCTTTTTTGATAAATAAAATTGTATATATTTAATGTGAAGTATTATTTTATTTCTTTATTATTTTTCGATGTTCTTATTGATTGTTAGAGAGATAAGAGAAAGGGATAGAGAGAAACATCAATGATAGAGATACAAGAATTGGCTGCTGGTTCATGATGATGCAGGACCTTGTCTGAACATCATGATGTCAAAATATGAGCTAGGAAGTGTCACAGAAATCTGGTCATGCGCCTCACCACACACCTAGCACATCTTGTCAACAGGAAGTGTTGACTTCACATGACAACTTAGCATACTGTCAATGGCAGTTAAAACACATGTCAGTTCCTCAAACTTTCTTCTGCAAAACCTTCACACACATTTCAAGCGCATCCTTTTCTCTTCTGTACATATTTGTGCTGTTGGAGGCAACAAAGGAGGCCCACCCTCGGACCCCGACAGGCACATGTGGAGACCGCCCCCCTGCCTGGGATGGAACAC